GAGTCCGTCGGGAGGATAAAATCGGCTACGATGAAAGGGCTCTGGTTCATATTGAAAGAGCGGTAGACCTCGTTAAACGCCTTCTGAATCTTTGCGGGACTGCATGGTCTCCCGTTGATGAAGAAAAATTGCCGGTCCGGGCCTGTTCGTCCGTTGCCGGGAGAGAATTTTGATATGAGGCCGTGGACCTGAATTTTTGTTGACCTATTTCAGTGAAAGGTTTCAATCAACCTTTAGAGGTACCATTGTGTTTCATTACACTTACGATCCGTCGTGGTCCAAATTTCCCTGTCGTCGCAGGACAATCTTCTCCGGAACAACCTCCATAGCAAGGTTCAATTCTGCGAGGCATTCGAGTTGCTTTGGACCCCACAGGGAGGATATGGATGACCTCAGAGATGGCTTGCCATCTGTGCGGATTTGATCAGATTTTCGACTAAGAAAAGAAAAGGTGCTTGAGAAATAACAATAGACATATCACGAAGTAAACCTACCCGCTCCCTTGAAGATGCACGACAGCTAGACGTACGCCTTTATTCTCCTTCGTACATGGCACAAGTGCATATGCGCTGAGGAGACTCAGTGCCTTTCCGAATTCGCGTTTTGAGTTTCGCTCGAATTCCTTGCGGCGAACAGGAAGTGGTATAAAGAGTCCCTCGACCGATAATGTCGTCCCTCTCTAGTCGGTGTGTTAGCAAGAACAAAAATAGGGAAAGAAACTCCATACGGATCTCGCAACCTTCCCAGACCGACTTTTCACTTTCCCGATCCTATCGAACTCCAGAATGGTTCCCATAGGTGCCTCCTTCGTAGTAGCAGTAGCGATCGTCACGCGTTCTGAGAGAGCACATAGGGATGACAATGCTTCTCCACGAAAGCCAAACGTCCGAACGGTCGTCAAGTCTTCAAAAGTCGATAGCTTTGAGGTGCAATGCTTCATAGCTTGGAGAATCCATAACTGAGAACAGCAAGAGCAGTCCAACCATGGCTACTTACCAACATTATCATAGTCTTCTGGGGCTATGCCACTCCCGTTGTCAGAGACTTCGAATGATTTAAGACCGAAGTCTTTGAACTTGACCTCTACGAGCGTAAGTCTCGCGTTAAATAATGTTTCAAATAACGACATACCTATACTTGTCGCCCCGGCATCCAGGCTATTCTCGACGAGTTCTTTGACTGCTGTCTGGAGGTCAATGAGAACTTGCCCTGACGTTATACGGTGCACGGATGACCGTTCTATTGATTTGATCATGTTTGGGCATGGACGACGACATTGAAAGGACGGCGAGATTCGACTAAATGACTAAAGTGCCTTGAGGGGCGGTGAAGTCGCGTCAAACTTATTCCCACGGCGTACGCCTCGCGCTTGTGAAGTTCAGTTTCAAACGAAGCCAATCAGGATTGCTCGTCTACATATAATATATTACAGGGAGTGGTTGTACAGTATGCACCGGAACAAATAAGAATACATATGTAATGTACCAAAGTACTCCGAACAATACCGCAAGTGCCCAAGAGACGAAGATAATAACAGAATAACAATCCCCCCTCCCCCCTTCAACCAGCAAAAGTTCACTCCACATCCTCCCCTAACATGTTTGCCAAGGCATCATTGCCCTCGTCTGCGGTCGCCTCATAAACAGCGAATGCTGCTTTTCGCGCGTCTTTCTTGTCAGGTGCTGAGTCAGCTTGAACATCTGCGTCCGCCGATGTCCAACCCTTCACCCTGTCGGCAAAGACCTCCGGACTACGATCGAGCAGGATGTTGAGGTCCTTGTCGCTGATGACGTTTGTCTTTCCCGCTTCCGTATTTGGCACGACCTGGATCTTTTCGCCTTCGAGCTTGAGTAGCGACGCCGCAATCTCTGCAAGGCTATCCTTGTCTCGTCCGCCTTTCGCAATCAACGAACCTGGAGCTTTAAACTTGCCTTGGAAGAGAAATGACGGTCGGTCAATTAGTCATTAATTTGAATTATTTACTCACCTTTTGCAATGACAAGTGCTTCCAATTTACGCTTCTCATTGGCGCGTTGCATGATCGTGTTCTCAATCGTATGTGCGCTTACAATACGGAAAATGAGCACGGGCTTGGTCTGTCCAATCCGATGAGCGCGATCCTGCGCCTGCATGTCCATTTGCGGGTTCTGTAGTGTATAGTTGTAAGTGTCTTATAAGCATTGGGATAAAACACATAAGTTCCCCTACCCAGTCCTGATCATAGAAAATTACAGTATCCGCAGCAGTGAGATTAATCCCTAGCCCACCAGCACGAGTACTGAGGATGAAAAGACGAGGCGCATCTGGGTCGTCTCCGCCGTTTTGGAACAAGCTCATTTGTTCACGCCTTTCCATCGGACTCGAACTTCCATCAATGCGACAAAGCTTCCATCCCTTGAACTCATCTGCCCATGCCTGAAAATGGTTTAATAATCAAGGCATCAGTGACAGACCCGTTTACGACGCTCACCTCGATGATATCAAGCATGGTCGTAAACTGACTAAACAGCAGCACTTTGTGACCGCGCTTGAAGAGCTCAGTCAGAAGACGGTCGAGGACAAGCATTTTGCCGCTTGCTCCGACGAGCCCGTCGTCAATCACTTGTTCGCGAGTAATCGGGTCTACGGGCCAGTCGAATAAGAATGGGTGAGAGCATACTTTGCGAAGTTGCATCACTGCATTCTGAAGATGAAGGTTGTTTACTTGCTTGACTGTAGATGACATCGTCAGTCGTGAGCAAAAAAAGCGCCAGCACAAGTCAACGAGAACTCTTCATACCGGCGTTCTTATAGTGATATTCTCTGCCTATGATGAGTGCGGGATCGTCCGTCTTCCGCCGTGTGATACCATCTATTTCCTCCAGCTCGCCTGTCTTCAGTTTCTTGAAGTATTCATCATCGTCTCCATCGACATCGTAATTTCTCTTTGTTCCCCTCTTACGCAGCTTCCTGCCCTCCGTTAACATCCTATGCTTCTCTTTCGCCCTTCGTTCCTCATTTTCTTTATCGAGACCTGGTTCTTGCTTGCCTGCGATCAAGAAGCGCCGAAGGCTACCATTGAGGACCGCCTCGTAAACCGCCTTCTGCTCTCCTGTTAGAGGAGCGTATAATACATATTCTTTCTTTGGCGGGAGAGATTGCTCCACGTCTACCTTGAGGCGACGCAGGAGGAATGGCTTGAGAATAGAGTGGAGAGTTGATACAATTTCTGCAGTCTGGCCAGAATTGAACGATGTCTGCATCGTCGGTATATTGAACCTGCAGAGAAGGCATCAGGCGAGCATCGAGAAGGTAAGGAGACAAACAAGAATCTTACCATTGCTGGAACGTGCTCAAGTCAGAAAAGATGTCAGGAAGAATGAAGTTCAGAAGCGACCATAATTCAGCCAAGTTATTCTAAATCCTCATCAGTCTCGAGTGTTTTCAGTATGAACATATACAACTCACATGCAGTGGCGTGCCCGTCAGTATCATTCTCCCTGCGCTCGTGAACTTCTTAATCTCTTGCACTAGCTTGCAATTAAAGTTCTTGAGGCGATGGCCTTCGTCGACGACAATGTAGCCCCATTTGTGACCCGCCAAATGTTTCCGGTCCTTGACAATCATTTCATACGTGGTAACTACTACGTGAGGCTTCCTCTGCTCCTTGCGCTTTCGCCTCCGTGGAGATGAAGAAGTGTCGGTACCGGCTTCTTCGTCTTCATCGTCCAGAGGGCGCATAACAGTTCGGCGTAACTCGGCTCTGTCCACGGGTGTACCATGATACATGACGACTGGAATCTTCGGTGAAATGTGATAAGTCGAATGCACGTTTCACGTTACGCGGAACATACCTTAGGAGCAAATTTTGCAAACTCATCCATCCAATTGTGCAAAACGCTGAGCGGACATACGATAAGAAACGGAGCGTCAGAACGCTCGCGGTGGACAGCGCAAAAGGATATTGTCTGAAGTGTCTGCGAAACTTGAGGTCAGCCAGGAGAAGAAGAGAATCAACAATATCCAAAAATGCATGCCTTTCCGAGGCCCATCTCGTCCGCTATAGGAGAGAAATCAATTTAGGCGTGCTCTTTTTTCCATTTTCAAATCATCCAACATACCAAGGATCCCGGAAATGCCATTATCCCATAAACTGACCATCCATGCGACTCCCTCGAGCTGATAACCCTTTAGCTTTCCTCCGGTAACAAGTGCCGGCTGTTGGAACTCAGTTTCTCCCTCTTTCTTTTCTTCCAATTGCTCGTCTGCTTCGTCGTCGCTTTCGATTCGTGCCTTTCGTCTCTTCGTTGGAGGTGGCGCACCACCCCGCCTTCGCTTCGCACCACCCCGTCCAGCCTTGGAAGTTGATGCAGCAGTCCGCTTGGAGCCAGTCCTAGCGAGCTTCATCTGGTCGTGCACAATTTGTGCGAATCTATTTGACTTTTCAAGGAGGAAGCGGAGCCGACCGAACCGTTCGTCGTCGTCCTGTGGCGAGAATTCAAATATCTACGCATTCGCGCAAAACCTCTTGAACTCACCATGTCTTCGAGATATCTTACTTCTTCTGACATCTCGGCGTTCTCCTTGTGATTTAAAAGCTTAATATAGCCATCAGCCAAGCCACTTGCAGCACTCACTTTTTCCTCGTACTCGTCTCCATCCTCGACCACCTTCGCGGTCCCTTCATCAGACGGTGGCGGCGAGGTTTCGGCTGAGCTTACACGCGTAGAATCGATGTCGAACATTGAAATCTCTGTTGAAGAAGGAGCTGGGGACGAGATCATGGTTCAGAAACAAAACGCGTGGCGACAGTGTGGGCAAAGATGTCTTGTCATTTGAACTAGGTTTAGGGCCGGTCATGTCGCGACGGCACCTTAATGCGGTAATCTTGGTTACTGGCTTACATAGATAGTCACTGAGAGCCTTGTACTGTCACGAGGACCTGAAGACTCAAACATAAAAACAAAATCACAAGTAACACAAATTTAAAGACTGCAAAACAAGTCCCAGGTAGAAAAAGACGACACCGGCAGGGTTCGAACCTACGCCCTCGAAGAGGAACAGATGAGGTTTCTGGTTCGAACCCCCAGAACGATTCAAATCTGTCGCATTAACCACTTTGCTACGGTGTCTCAACGCTTTAAGGGCCTGTTCGGCCCCAGGAGTTGTGCAGTCACCGGCTGGGCAACCCAGGGCCGGAGACTTCCGCACTAGTCTGAGCCAACGCTGCACCCGTTTGTCACATAAAGTCACATACTGTAATGCAAAAGTGGTCATCCGAAATGCCGGACTTTATTTAGATTTAGGCGCTTATCTTATATAATAACCTATATTAGGCAACTTAAATGCATTTTTATTATTATTATTATTTGTTTCTAATTTTCAGCGAAAAGAAAAAGCCGACAATTAAAAAATCTATGATACAACATCTGTAGACATGCATGGCTTTTAACCAATGTGTATAAACAAAGTAGCAAATTTAGATAGAAAAACAATTCGGGCCTTTCCGTTTGTTGATATGCACAAGTAGCCTATATTAGAAAATCACGCACAGAAGCCGTTGCGTCACAACCACGGTCGTACCGAGCACTCGTTTCGGCTGAGGTTGGCCAACCGGTGACTGGGAAGTCACCGGTTGCAAATTTGGGTGGTGGAGGCTGCGCAACTCCTGGGGCCGAACAGGCCCTAAGTCATTGTGGCAATTCATAGCGTGGAAGTCATCCTCAGGCGAGTGGCTTAGTTATGTAATAATTTCGTCAGCCGACACTTAATCGGTCGTTCGTTCCGAGACAACTGCCCCTCTGGAATACCATTCCACTACTCACGCAACGGAGGCAGACCAAGGCAAGAGACTGCGGGACATACTCGAGGAGAGCGCTGTCTTTCCCTTTCCTATGTCTGATTCGACACAAAGCTGCAATTTAACGGAACCTAGTTTGTTTGAGGCAGGCCGACTTGATGCCAAGTGGAAAGCTGCAGGGGCTATACGAGACGTCGAGTTGGTCGATGCTCTTTGCTCTACTCTGGATGACATTCTAGGTGACAAGCGTTTGAGTACGGATATGCTTCGAAAGTCGATTATGGTCTCGAAATAGACTCGAGGCTGGTAGCCCTCGCCGAGGCGAAATCCAATCAAGTTCTATGCGAAGTCGGAAGACTTTTACCACCGCGCGGATTTATCTTGGATTGATCAAACGATCGGCCATTGATGGAAAAAGTCATTTTGAACGTCGGTTTGCCGCTTGCTCGTGATGGAATTGACTGTTGACTTTGTCTGACAGGTCGCTTTATACATGTCATGGCTTCATGGAAAACCGAGTGGCTTTTTCTGACTTCGCACAATCACTGGATCATTTTTCGTCTTCATCGTGGCGGTCTTCGCTCTCCTGATGAACAACCTTATCTGACGTATTCACCTATGCTCTCGATCGAGGGCGAGACCAGAGCTTTCCGCGCTTTTCTTGGTGCCCTCCTGGCTGCTGTAAATGAAGCCGATGTGCCCTCAACGAAGATCCCGAAAGATGTTGAGCTTGATGTCATTCCCGAAGATGCAAGACCCAAGTCAGAAAGCTTTCCTGGAGAACTTGCCGCGTTAAGAATCACCATGGCACCATTAGAAACACCAGAGCCACACTGGTTCTCTCTTCAAGAAGTAAATCCTACGTCCACGACCAGGCTGACGGACAATACCGACGAACCTATCTATCTGCGGCTCACTCGTCCTCTCGGCCATGGCGCAACAGGTGTAGTCTACGAAGGCCAATTGGAGGCGAACAGTGCTCAGGATGCACCGATTCCACGGGCATTCGCCGTCAAATATGTCGAGGTTCTGAGGAGCGAAGACGAGAGTAGGCGTGAACGACTTCGGCATGAGTTCGGCATATACCAAATTCTGGAACGTGCCTGTCTTCAGCCCGGGCAGCTGTCGAAGCGCATTGCTCCTCAGTGCTTTGGGATGTTCGAGAGTGGCAATCTTTCTGTTCTGATACTGGAGCTGCAGGGTGATTCTTTGAGGAAATGGGAAGACCTAAATCCGACTGAAAAGTGAGTGATCTAAGTTCATTGCCACGTTCTGACCTCAGGGTTTTCCATATGCATGATTTTAGGGAGAAGGTTTTAGAAATAGCCTAGGAATTACATGGTCTGGGTATAGTCCACGGGGACCTTGAACCGCGTAACGTTGTTCGAACCATTGCTGGCGGGTTCTCCATCCTCGATTTCACTGAGTCCCGAAAGCATAATTGCAAAGAAAAGAAAACGGTAAAAGACGCATGGCTTTAGCTTGTAAATGTTTTCATAAACTCACGCGATGCGCGATTTTTGCAGAGTTGCAGAAACCCTGCTGAGCTGATGCGGTGCAGAGAGTTACGTCTTCTGTCGGAAGCATTGTGGAAGAGGCTTCCTTCATGAAATGGCGCTGACCCTTGTTCGCGGTCTAGCAATGCCACGCAGATTTCGGAACTCAAATGCGGTCCGGACAGCTCGGCGCTGCATTTTTTTTCTTTCCTTTTGTTGGATAATTAGACAGATTATAATAAGTTATGAGATTGATTTTAAACCAATAGACACAGAAAATGTAAATAACAAGCATTAGAGTGTTTTTAGAGGTCTTCGCACTTGAATTTCGCTGACTTATGGCGACTACTATCTTTAGAATAGCCGAGCAAGCGATGGAGCAAAGGTGTGATACTGCGGAAGTCATGCAAATATTTAAACTGGCCCGTCTGTAGAACTTTTTTCTATTGATTTGCATGAGCTCCAGCGGGCTCCTTCGCTTACCCTCCTAGCTAATAATAGTAGTCGCCATAAGTCGGCGAAATTCAAGTGCGAAGACCTCTAAAGACACTCTATTATCCCGAGGGCCCTCAACACATGGGAGTATAAGCGATTGTGTGCAAACTGCTACATCTCGTTCGACGTGACGCTGGAACTATGCGCGAATCATTACTGGAGCCTCCGAGGTTGCGCGTTCCCGTCCACGTCCCCCGCACGCCCTTGACGACGTCCTCGAGCTCACCCGGTGCTACGCCGATGCCGCGCTGTAGTACAGGGTCGTCATAGCCCTTCACCTCCATTGACACTGCGAAGGCGTGCTACAGATCGCCGTGCCTGCAAGGACGCCAAGCTCGGATCGGGATTCAGCCCCTTTGCGGCCGCGCCTTGTCTGCATAGTGTCTAAGACATGTACGGCGCGATTCTTGAGACTGGAGCGCGAAGGCGAACTTGGGCGAAAGTGCGCCGAGAAGCCGTCGACGATGAAGAGTACGGTTTGAACAGTGTGAGACGGAGTTGCGAAGTGTCTGCTTGTTTGGTTGGTGCGGAGGGGTGGTAAGGTTGTCGCTAGGTTGAGAATTCCTCACACGCCGGTGTTCGCGCACGATCTCATCCGTGAGGTGGATCAGCGTGGTGTTTGAGGGCTTCTGCGAAGTTGTCATCAAAGCACACACTCCCTTTCATGTTACATAGTGTCTCGCAGTGTGGGTGTCACGTCTTCCGATACTCTGCCGAAGTCGGTTTTCATTATATTTTCAGCCTTTACTGCTACTGCGCAAAATCGTTTCCATTCGCTTGGAAGACATTGGGTATGGATACATCCTGCTCTTCAAAACCAAGTACAAATGCGAATTCCGATACTGACGGATGATTAGTTCGGATCCCTACGTGTATCTTCAGCGATTTGAAGGATGTCCAAATTTGTGGCGACTACTAGTGGGCAACTGAAAATGCCAGTTTCGGGTTCTCGTGTTTCCGCCTCGAACGTATCGTGCCTTTGGAGCACCTTGGTATTAGCTCAACCCACTCCTTCCTATCAGTTCTGCCGCAATGTTACATTGTTATAAAAAAAAGAGGCGCATCGCGTGCCGGCCAACTGGTCGTCTGCGTGCACACATTCCACACCAATGGAAGATCGAAGTAGAGCCTCGAGGTACACCGAGGAGCCTGAGCGGTGTGGCCACGACGATTGTGTCTTTGCCATTGTGCGCGAGCTTGGCTCTCCGAGCACCGCAAAAAAGGCCGACTCTCGGACCGACTCCTGCGACGAGTGTCTTAGCCTCTCCGAATTTGATTCGGAGGGCGCGCGCCTCGTTCCGGACAAGCTTATGTTTGCGGCGCGCAATGGGACAGTGACGCTTGTGTTCCATACACTTCCCTTATATACTCTTTCAGTGCCTTCCCTCGCCTTGTGGCGAACTTACCATCTGACATTCCGCGAAGCTGGAACTCCAAAGTCCTCGGTTCTCGCATTCGTGAGTACGGCCACTCCTCTAAACTTTCTCCATCCGACGAGCATAATGAAATCAAGAGGGAAGTTAATGCTAAGCGCTATCTCACTTTTTTTAGAACTCTGAACATCTGCGGTTCGTACGGAATGAGGGGTGCTTATGTTTCAAGCACTTTCCTCATGTGCACTTTCTTGATCTTGCATTCACTGCATCTTACTATTCGACAATATGTGAAGCTGGACTCGGAGTCCCGTGGGTCTCGCTCTCAGAGGTATAAAATGAAGCGCAACAACCTCGTAAGGATCTCCCAGACAATTTTTGAGAGATCAACGAGCCTCAACTCCTCCGCATCAATCTAGTCGTCGAAATGTTAACTGTGCAGACTTACTCGGGTCCGAAGAATGAAGGGAGCTTCATCGTGAAGCTCAAGGCTGGCGTCGATAAGGACGCAACCCTTCGCTGGCTCAATACTCGTCGCTCTGGCGTCGAAATCACGCACGGTTCATGGAACAGCACATTCTTTCATGGCTTTGCAGGTGAGCTTGTTCTCGTCAAGAGCGAAATATTTTCCTGGCTTTAACCGGTTTGAAACCTAGGAAAATTTGATGCAGATACAATCGACGTGCTTCGAGCGAACACTGACGTCGAGTCCATCCACGAAGACGGCATCGCAACTATTGAAAGCACCGTTACTCAGTAAGCTTCACTCCTTTAAAATTTAATACATTATGAACTTCTTTTTTTTCCCAGAACCAACGCTCCTTGGGGCCTCTCTCGCATCAGTCAGGACGAACGGCTGTCTTACCAGGTCCCTGGAGCTTTGACCTTCTCGTACCGATATGACTCCTCGGCAGAATATGGTGTCGATATCTACATTCTCGGTTAGTTGATTGTTTTCATACTCTCAA